TTGCAACTACGGTGTAACGACAGTGAAAATCTAGCAATTGGGCGATTACTAGATTTTTTCTAGTTGCAACTATCGATTTATCGTCCAATAATCGATCGATTTAACTATTACTAGATGCACCTGCAGATGCATCTAGTTAAAAGTCTCTTTTCCAACTAGTAATCTAGATGGCAACTAGTCGTGCATCGCCCGATTGTAGACGAAATGTATCTAGATTTTTCCCACAGGCGATATTTGCTTGGGAGCAATCAAGTGAAAATAGCAAAAGTTGTTACCTTTTTTTTCTCAGTGGAACAAACCAAATTTATTTTCCATATCTTAGAGATCCGATCGTAACGACCAATCATTTGTTTTCAAAATTAAAAAGATCAACCTGAATGGATCAAGTTTGACTAAGTTTTATTTGTTTTATTGGAAGACTCAAATTATTGGTAAAAAATTGGCAAAACATAATGAAATTCTTGCGTCCTTAATTCTAACTGAAAATTATTTAAATTACAGATGGAAAATAGAGCTTTTCGAGGTATACACGGTGGCTACATCAGCTTTCCTCTCTCACAAACTTTTAGCAGATACACATCGTTTATTTTTATCTATTATCTAATTTTTTGTTAGCAAACAGTCGAGTTTTAATTTATTTATTTAATCAATAAAGTATTGAATGATGCAGGTTCATTAGTGTTATTTACGCATTTATTTTATTTTGTATTGACACATTTTTTTTTCTAAAGAGCTTTTACTGCTCATAAGACAGATCCTCTATCTTGTCGATGTTTTTACAAGATGTGAATTTTAATTTTCTACTCTTTTTTTTCACGAAAGATTTGTCGATTGCAGTGCTATATATCTAACTCACAATTCAAAGAATTGCTTGCGGACTTATATATCATAACATTCATATATATGAAAAATTATGAATATTTATTTTGTCCTCTTGAAGATTTTTGCAAGATCTTTGAGATCAAACTGCATGTAAAAATGTTGGCAAAGATTCTTGTTCGAACCTGTAAGAAGTAAGAATCTTGCAAGAATATTGACGAGAAAGCTAGATAGACTAGAAAAACCAAAATAGATGACAAAAATGGCGAAAGACGTCAGTAGTGTGTATATCTATCAGAAAAACAAGCAATAGAAAAAAATGTCAGATATACACATACATACGGCGCATATTAAGAGTAAAGCATACCAAGAAAATATTTTTGTCGATGTACTTTATCATGCAGAAATATGATGATAATATATTTCTTTTACGTCACAATGTGTTCAAACAACAGTGTAGAGTGTTTTATTAAACATTTTTAGTTTTATTGTACGCCAGTTAGTCAAAAAAATATAGTATTTTTTGCTAGAGGAACAGAAAGGTAGTTTTTACAATGCAAAGTAATAAAGTATCTCATATTTTCTAACAAAAATTCTCGTTTGGGTAAGCGTTTTTTTTTTCGAACATTATTTTTCTGAGAAGTTAGCAAATGCAAATTATATGTAGTTTAGTAACTCACTTCTCTGTCAATAAGTTTATAAAATAATAGCCAAAATGTTATCGTTCTTCTCAGTGAAACAGATATTTCGATGTGCAGTTTGAATTAGAAAAACATCACGTAGTGTATGCCACTAAATTAAATAGAATTTAAGCAAATAATAACGGGCAAAACATATATATATATATATGTATATATGAGCTACACAATACATTGTTAATTAATGCGGTGTGAAGCAAACCGCATTCTAGTAATAAACTGCGTGTTTTTTGCTTGACAAAAAAACGCTTGTAGAGAGAGGGGCGACTAAAAAGTGTCTTCTCCCCTTTTGAGACTTTGTATGTTTCGTTGCTCTGATTTACTCCAAAGTAGGTCTTTTGAACGTTTAGCACTTTCAGAAAACACGATAATTAATCTGAGTCATACATGTACACGCGGTTTTATACCAGAGTACGTTCGTCTACCGTATGATTCGTTTTATGATCATTCCCTATATCTATTCAACAAGTAATTATCGTAACTCTAGCTTCTCTGTTGCTGTATCCTTCATTCTCTTGTTTCTGCTTCGCATCACATCCGTAACTCTCGCTAGCATGATTACCGTCTAGTTTAAATGAAAGTCACAACTAATAATCTCATACTCAAACTTGTCGCTAAATTGTTGGAAACGAACGACAATTTGATTACTGTGAATTACACTAAATTTTGATGTCCTCAGTGCCTTGCTTACGCGAAGCAGGAAGAACTATTTTTCACCGATACTTCTATTCGTATTTTTAGTTTTACAATCTGTTTATCTGCCATTCGTGAGACATCGTAACTACATTACACAAAAGAACTTGTTCGTACTTTTAATTTGGTATTTCATGACTAATTCATGTTAAATGAACTAATTGCAGAGACAAAGCTCATCCACATGTTGGTTCAAACGTAAAATAGGCTTGTAGTAGAGTAGATATTATACTATATTCTAAATAAAGTCATCCCTCTCATCCTAATAGGAAAAGTGTTTTGACCCACGTCTCCATCTTTGAAAGAATCATAACGAAATAATTAGCGATGATTATGTCCATCATTATATGATCAGATCATGAACAACAGGTTATTCACTTTGTTTAGCGAGATCACTGAGTTGTTTGTTCGATACTAAATTGGTTGTTTATATGCTACAATTATCTCGTTTTAGATAGAGCGTAATCATACAGTTTATCATTCAAAATAGATCACTCACAAGAAAAGGAAGTTACCATTAGCACGTTATCTTCGCGACAACGTCAGTCAAAATTGACTTCACATACTGAGAATAGCAATGATAACAGCAATGGAATGACCGAATTAAAATCTCGCACAAGATTACCTGAAAAATATAAAAAGCTTGATTCTGACATGGATGACAATGAAGTTTACTTAACGAATGATGCGAAACGCCATTTAGCACATGTTGAACGGTAAGTTAATATAAAATAAAATAAAACTTTATGCTCATTAAATTCCATCTTTTGCTTAGAAATCTAGTGTTTAATAAAGCACACCATTCAAAGGATAACGGCATGTTCTTATACATATGATGTATCTTAAAGTATGTTAATTGAGATATTTTTTTTATATAAAAATTTAGTTTTCCTATCTTATGTATCAACTAATAACTTATCCAGCCTAACAATGGAATAAGACTACATCTTTTAAAAACCAGTTTTCTAATAATACCTCGGGAATATTTATACAATGCTTCTAACTGTACTTGTTCGAGTTTGTTTTTTTATCCATGTGTTATTCTACTTATTGAGATAATTATTTTTGATGTTATATGGCCCATTCATCGGTATAATGTGTAAATGGTGCCATTTATACAAAAATACGATTAGTAATAGATTTTTTTTGTACTTAACAGAATCAAAAGAACAATACTTCTTCTATCTAAATGCGCATCATACATACCAATAACATTTCATGTTGGTGTTGTTTCGTTTTTTCATTCTCTTTCTTTTTTTTTATTCATACAGTAGAAAATCATAAATTCTTTTCTATTTTTTTTTCGTTTGTTCTAACTTGACACTCGTTGAAAATATTTGTTGAACATAGTTACTGATATGTAGAAGGAATATATCTATACTTCAACTTGTTCGACTAAAATGATGTATACCACAAAGATTACTAAAGATGTTAAATTTTTCATGAATTGAAACAGATAAACTCGTTCATTTTATTCTATTCAGTCGTATTCTTGAAACATAAGATACGAACGAGTACAAAATTCAATTAGTATATGTTTATTAACCTATCTCACTGTAATAAAATTTAAAATTTGACTCGTTCTTCTATTCTTATTAATCATTTGAGTAGATAAGACGAAGAAGAATATTAAAGACTTATTTTTATTTTTCAATTAGGCACATATCATCTTGTTTTTGTTGGTGATCTACTCTCATAATGGAATTTGAATTTATCAAGTTTTGTTTCATTTATTTTAGTCATTCAAATAGAATGAAACCAATATCAGCCATTAAAATTCTATTTGATAGTGTATCATTGATAATAAGTATGCAGTTAATTTTATTTATTATTTATTTATCTATTACTATTTATTGTATTTTAATTTAGTTGCGTTATCCTGGCTACTTCTTAAATATCTTATTAAACCAGTTCGTCGAGGATTTTTATGTTCTAACCTTAATTTATATCGTAGGTGCTCATTTTTTTAATATAATTGAACATGTTAGTTGTAATATGTAATATTCTGATTTAGATCCACAACCAGTCCAAAAAGTAATTCCAACATGGTTATTATTTGTATTAGCGGTTATTCTACCAATTTTTGTCGTACGTATTGTTCGATTATTTATTTTATTATTTGTCAAACATCTTGCTTGATTCACCTTATCGGCATCTGTTAGAGACAATGCATCGTACATTAAGATTTGTTAGAATTAAGCAGTTTTCATTGTGGTTAGTACATATCACCAACAGACACCATTTCTATCATTCAAACGTCTGTATTATAGCGAGTTCAGCCTGATTGGTAAGAGCTTTTTTCTCTAGATTATTGGTTCAGAATTTGTTCGTTGGTATTACATAATTCGTACAAAAGCAGCTCGAGTTGTTTATAGAATTAAATTTCGAAAGACAACATACAATATACCAGAATGGGTTGGAAATTTATATATTATTATTGGTAAATATGAATAAGCCAGTCGCTCCCAAGTTTCACTCTGTTTTGGGGGTATTTTAGGCGTGTTTATCTTTGCCGCATGTGCAAATTCATTTTTAACCAATGTTGGAAAAGTATCGGCTGGTCGTTTACGTCCACATTTTATTCCATCTTGTTTTCATACAAATAATTACACATTATATTGTCGTACTCCAAATGACTGGATAACAAATTATACATGTGTCGGTGAATCAAGTGATATTATCAAAGAAAAAGATGGTGCCAACGACATAAGGTAGTCATAGTCTATTTGTTGAGATATCCTAAGAAAAAACTTATTTTTCTTCATTTTATTTAGACAGTCATTTCCATCTGGTCATGCTTCAACAGCATTTTGTGGTTTGATATTTTTAGCAGTAAGTGTTTTAAAGGTTATCATAAGTCCTTCTAGATTTGATCAATTAATGAAATAGAAGATCTGACGAGGGAATCTTCGCAAGTGTCTAGTCGTTTTTTCCTTAAAACACACGATTGTGGGTAGTCTTTGATACTGAATCTGATATCTGTTTCTGCTGCTAGGCCTTTCTGGGATGGGTCTGTAGAATCCGGGTGTCCGAAGACTAGTTATGAACTTCCAGCTGAACATATTCTGGCACTACCAGATTGTAGAGCACTTGGACTTACCTATGTGGAAAAATGTTCGGAATCAACGAACAAGTTTTCACAGAGATAAAATTTTACTTTCTAATCCAGTAGGGAACTGAATGTTTCAGATTTTTATCTCTGCGAAAACTTGTTCATTAGTTCTGAACACTCTACAATCTGGCAGTGCCAAAATATATTCAACTGGATGTTCATAGAGAGACTTAGGACACTCGGATTCCAGAGACCGATCTCAGAAAGGCCGTGCAGCAGAAACGGATATTAGATTCGTGTATGTTCTAAGGAAAAAGCGGTTGAACACTTGCGAAGGTTCCTTCGTGAGACTAAACTACATAATTTTATAATAAAAGAAAACAGTAAAACAAGTTGAATAGAAAAGAAGTACATAACTATATGAAAAATTCTATACGATTTACTCGATAATTAATTCAAACTAATTGTAACTGATCTGTTCTATCTTTCTAGTTATACATTTATAAAGTTTGGTGTTGGCGCAATATTGGTATGTTTCCATGTGTTGCTCAAGTTGGTTGTGCGGCGCTAGCAGCATATATAGGTAAAAATAATGGTGATAGCTAGTTGAAATGATTACATTTAATTGTAACTATGTTTTATTTCTTTTCAGGTATAACGCGTGTTACTGATCATCGTCATCATCCAACGGATGTTTTGGGTGGTTCAATACTTGGAACTGTGGTCGCAATTATAGCTGTACGTCTTTTTCTATTTATCGTGATTTACATTGAGTTCATTTTTATTTGATATTATCTTTTAGTTTCGATACATGGTTGGCCAATTTAAATATTCAACATTAGAACAAGGAGAAATCATTAGCAGGGCAGACGAATCGGACATTCAGAAATAAAAATAAATTTTATTTTATTTTTCATTATTTTTATTATTCAAGCTAACCGTATTTTATGGATATTGTTTTATTATGAAAATATTTACTTTTATCTTTCATAAATTTGTTTTACAATAACTTTGGTCAGTTATAGAAAAGGCGATAGTGAAACAAATTTATTAAACTTGAATAAAGTGAAGATAAAATGAAAATATTTGTTTTTATACTCGAGTATCAAAACAAAAAACCTAGTATCGCTCAAAATGTATCTAGATTTTTCCCATAGGTGATGTTTGCTTTTGTATTTTATTCTGATCTGAATGAACAGAAATGTTCAGTATGAAAATTTGATATAATGTACAAACTTTTCCCCACACTTTTTCCCACGCTTTTTGATCTGGTTGTTATTGTTCCTTTTCAATTTATATTTACTGAATGGTTTATTTTTCTATTTTAATTTGTTTCATTTTAACTTATCTACAGTTTATTGCATTAAGATATAAATAAACTGTTGGCAATAGTCTATTTAATATGACAAGTCCTTGTTTTGACTATAAAACATGAGTCTTTGAGATGTGGGCTTGTTGATGAAAAACGGACTTTCTATCATTTTGTTTTTTCTCAAAAACAGGAAAACAATTCGTTTTGTGTGCTGAAATTATATATTTTACTTCAATAGCATTGTCTATTGTAGGTTAATCTAGAAAAATCATTTAATGTAGATGAAAATATTGAAATTGAGCCTGCAACGAATGACTCATAAGTTAATCATAGAAAACAAATTATTGAGATGTTGTGCGTGTGTATGCATTTCAGAAGTGAGCACAACGAAGTTTTTTAATGATCTATCTTGTCAGAATGAGATGGAACTATCCCATATATCGTTACTATGTTTTTAAAAGATTTTTTATGCATTAAACTAAAGATTTTGAAAAAAATGACGGATGACAAAAGATTTTTTGATTGTAATTATTTGAAAAAAGTACAGAATTTAAGAGTATTAGTTTTTTTTCTTAACTGTTTGAGTGAATATGAATTATCATAATAGTGACACATGTTTTAGATAATTTTGAATGGCTACGAATAGTCCCACAACAATAACTGAATCAGGTAGTATTTGACATCTGTCCTCATGTTATCAACATATTACTTTTGGATTTATTTTAGATGCTGATACAGATTATAAAGTAGCAGAAAATAACGTTGCACAAGACGAATATGACGATGAACGAACAATTGATGAAGAAGAACAAAATCAAACAATGTCAGCTGAAGATATTCAAAGTGAACTGGCAGAACTACAAGCCGTACGTAATCAACTCAAAACAAGTTAATTGGAGTTATAAAATAATTTAGTTTACTTTAGGAAAGTGAAATGCCAATTAGTGAATTATTGAAATTATATAGTTTTGTACCAAATACCACCTCGAATCGTGTACAACGAAATTTGGATGAAGTAAAGTTATTTCTAGTTCTACTTTTAAAGTTAACTACTGTATTTCTTATCTTTAAAAGTCGTCCATGTCGTCTACAGATGAAAGTACATCAACTAGTCATGATGCTGAATATCAAAATTTATTAACAAATAATACAACTGGTCAGTTATGGAAAGTAAATAAACATTCTGTCATTCTCACACAAAATTTAATGAAAAATCAAAAAATTTCTTATTTAGGCACATCGGATGGAAATGATGAAGAAGATACGGATCCATCATATTCATTAGAGTGGCAAAAAGTATGAGTTTTTATTTGTTGATATTGATCAGCGTTATCTTTATTTTTATTCTTTATTTTCAGTCGATAAGTGTTGGAGATCAATTTCAAGCACTTGTTCCAGAACTTACAGCAAATAATAGTAACACATCAATCGACAAAGATCAGAGTAAATTGTGATGTCTACTATCTGTCATTGCATGTTTTGTGTATTTCTTCACTTCTAGCTGACATTTTTGGCCAATTACTATGGTCTCCCAGTAATATCGATGATGCATTAATAGATCAGTATCTTAAAGAGGCTTGTAAAGAATGTACGTCAATGATTGCTCACCTCTTTTGCTTTTTCATATGGAATTATTTCTTTATATAGTTCCAACAGCTGATCAGGAAGTGGCATTAGAAATATTTATGTCGTGTTCATACGAGTTAGATCAAGCTTTAGAAAAATTTCGCGTATCAAACAAAAATATTTGTATGTAAACTCTTGTTAGTATCGAATATTTTGGTAATGACTACAACTGTCTTCTAGTTTCTATGACACCGTGGTCTATAAATGAATGTGATTTGTTTGAAAAATGTTTTAAAGAATATGGCAAAGATTTCTATAAAATGCATTTATTTAAAGTACGTCTTTCCATTATTATAATGATACGTATTTCTAAATTTGTTTTAGATTTGTTTAGTTGACAAATCGTAGTGTACGTGAGTTAGTTAATTTTTACTATATTTGGAAAAAAACGGAGCGACATGATATATTTGTACAAAAAAATCCAGTGGAAAAACGACGTTTTCATCTTCATCCATTCGTAACGTAAGTGTTATATGACCAATAATATTTGTTGAAAACATCTCAGAACAACTGCATGTGATCATTCAACTGTCTAAATAGATAGTTTAAATTATCTTTATTTAGTGATTATCTTGAGAAATTTCTTGATGAACAAGAACAACAATTGATGAATACTCACGATAATGGCGGAGTGACATCATCCAATTCCTTGCTATCGGCTGATATAAAACGACGTTCACCCTTGCCTAATTCAATAGCGTCAATCACATCACCTGACAAACGCCCAAATGAGACTATTGAAATATCCATGAATAAACGACGTTGTACAGTGGAACATGAGAATAGTTCAATTTTGACAAAAAATAATAATACATTGCCAGCTGTTTTACTGGATACATTTGTTCCTTCTCAAGAGAATGGAGGTGAAAAACAGACTAAAGTAAAAAAAAGTGTTAAAACAACAACATCAATTGTCGTTACGAAAGAGACTGTTGCACCATCAAATGATGATGTGTTAGCACAACCAACGTCAAACATTCCCAATACTATTATTCAAGAGCCAAATCAAAATGATTCTGTTGTCTCAGATTTGAAACCTGTATAACAATGCTTTTGCTTTTTATGTGATTGATATTTGTTTCTACATCAAGTTGTGTATTGATTCACTTTATTGTTTAAAATTTTGTGTAATGTTTTTGTGGGTTTTTTATCTAAAACTCTAAAATTTTATTTTTTGCCTGACCTGCTCTTTCGGACACCATTGTGAACGTCTTGATACATAAGAGTAAGGTCGGTGAATCAGTATCCGTTGTGTGGTTGTTTTACACTGTTCTCTATAATCAGAAAATGCTTTTTACATTTCGTATGCATTATCAAGAAGTTAACTGAGAGACGAAATGAAATTCATGTTGGTTCTGCTTTTTCTTCTAACATCCTTCTTTTCATAGGTTTAGAGTAAATATCAATACATCATTGATTAGTGACTTTCAGAAAGAACACAAACGTCCAAAGTTTGTTGTTATCCAAGCACAGCAACTCCTATATCAGAAAAAAGCCTTTCAGCTAGTCAATTTCAACTAGTCGATGTTATCATCTTACTTAAACATTACTAAACTCGATGAAATATCTCCAAACCAATCACATCTATTATAGGAAAATTTTGTGTAAATGAAAGCACATATGAGTTTAATGAATAAGACATCGGGACTGTTCTAAAGTGTTGGTGTAATCATAGGAACAATACCGAAATTTGCAAACTTTTGCATTAAGAGATCTCGGAGCAATTACTGTCCTATAACAGATGTGAGAACGAATCCTTAAATACACATGAATTTATACGCAGTCTCGCCGTATACAGTAGTTAAACCATTTCAAGCTACTTAAAAGTTTTCCCCAAAGATAAATACGTATCAAAAATATATCTGATGGTCCAAAGTAGGCGGGCTACGCTTATATCCCATTTAACTTTTACCCGTTAAGCCTGATTTTCTACTCTATATGCTATACAACGATTGAACTTGTGCAATCAATTGGATGTTGCTTATCAGTCCGTTGTCACTGGCCTGATCACGCAAAATAAGCACTTCTACACAGCGGATAAGAGTCAATTTACGCAGTTTTTGGCGCTCTTTCACGTGGAATAAGTCTCTTTATGCGCCATTGCTTTCATTTTCGCGTTGATGCATTTGCAAGAAAAACCTATAAAAATCTGTCCAAAATAGACATGATATCTCTTGTTCCACCGGATCATATTGCCTATTTGCACAATATATCTTGTCACAACGAATAATATTACCCCATCGGGCCAGAAGGCATGACAACGGACTGTCTATGATGATATTTTGGAATGGCAAGCTTTCTTATATTTGTGTAATACAGTAATGTTTTTAGTAAAGACTTCTTCATATACTATCGTTTTCAAATATAAGGCTGCCGTCTATTTTTTGAAGACTAATAAATCGATTTTCTAGTGGATCTCTGGAAAACTGTTTCATAACTGGAAAAGCCAAGGTAGAAATATATCGTTTTATTCATGAGTAAAAGTAGCCCGAAGTATCCTCTTCAAAATGGAAGACATTGATTTTCAATGATTCGGACGTTATATGGAATTTTCAAGGAGTTGGTACTTGGTGAGTTGGAGTAGCCTTGAAAGTACATGAAACATATGTAATCGATTATGCTGAGTCTGGCGAGAACGTTTATTTTTGAAGAAAAAATCAAAAACCTGATGAAAACCGAGATTTTATGAAGACTATTTCTACCTAGTATTAAAAAATTCACAACTCACTCGAAAAGTATCAGAACGAGTTGGAAATCTAAGGATATAGTTAATTTTGTCTGTGAAATGTAATTATGCGATCGCATAAATTAAGAAACAATTTTTTTATTCCACGGTTTGTAGAGAACCATACGGTTTTCTAAATTTGTTCGTAAATTTGTTATGGATAGCATGCAGAATAGTCTCCTTAAGTCTCTAACTTGAGGAATAAAAGCTTTAAGTTTCTAACTCGTTCTGATACTTTTCGAGTGAGTTGTGAATTTTTTAATACTAGGTAGAAATAGTCTTCATAAAATCTCGGTTTTCATCAGGTTTTTGATTTTT